TTCCTGTCTAGAGTATTTGGTCTATTTGCTTTTAGTCCCTGAGGCAAAAGAGAGGGGAAAGGAGAAGGAAATTCTGGTAAAAATACAAAGCTTTTCTACTCCGAGGTGGTCAGAGAATCACACAGTGCCTCTTCCTGTATTCTGTGTCTTTGTCTAGACTTGCCCAGTGCTCTCTGGATGTTTTGGACTTCCAGTTTGATCCATCCAGCCCCCATGGCCAATGGTAAGGAACACTGGGAAACACATCTGGAGAGCACCAGATTAGGGGAGGCTGGCCTGGACCCTGACATTCTCAGAATATGAGGAAGAGTCCCTCTTGGTTATCCTCTTTGATGCAACACCACACATATGCAACAAGGCTGCATCATGCACATTACATCTACCTACCAGGTAAGTAGGTGCCCCCCTTACCTTACTTGCCTTATGCCCTATCCTTATGATGGGCTAATCCAAGCAAAGAAAGGGATAAAGTCTTAACACCTGAAACGCTGCTGCACTAAGGCTGCAACACGAGCATTCAAACCCTATTGCAATTGTCCCTTGTGGGGACAATCTGTTGCTTTGATCTGGCACAGGAACATGATGGCAGACAGAGTACCGGCACAGCAGCTTCAGTGATGCTCTCCTCCTCCTCCCTGTTTGCCATGGTGGGACTGGCAAGCAGGTGGGTTGGGGGGAGCCAGCAAGCCATCTTAAGCTATATGCAGGGAGCTGTGTCTTTGCTCCAGGGCACTTAATCGCTACATATGTACACATGCACCCCTTCCCCGCTGTGCCAAGGATAGGATGAATGCAGGTCCCCCCCTCCCCCAAATGGCTGCACTACGGCAGCTAAAGCAGATCTGTGGGATTCAGTTGCCAGTTCAGTCAACACTGCTATTTGTTACAAAGAACAAAAGACTGAGGAGTTTCTCCCTTTGCATAAATTCTGTTCAAAAGAAAATGATGAATGCCTCATGCCAATTAACAGTGGAGCATTTATATACACACTTAGTTACGCTACATTTCTTATTATAATGATTTGCCTATGTACAGTTTGGCTATGAAAGGGATCAGCAGTTCTGTGCAATCTGAATGACTAATACATACCAAAGGCAGGCTGTGTGGATGTTTGTACAAGGGACGCAAAAATGCCTTTCCACCTCTCTCCCGCTGCTTGTGACTGGTTCAAGTGCACGTTCGCATGATTCGATTTCTCGACACTTGTTCATGCAGAAGTGCAGAATGCTGAGCCATTTCACACATTACATTTTTGGGTGTGCACCTAGAAGCAGCCTGTGAATGTGAAAGCCACGTGCATGGAAATACAGCTGTTGCAAGAACAAGGTATGCCATGAAAAGCCATATTATGCACTCGTGAGAGGGTCAGCATTGGCTGCCAGTCTCAATGAGTGTATACTCCGTAACCCACCCAGGCAAACTTCAGGTATGCGTGAAACAGCTCTGTGTGATCAGATTCCCTTTGAGAGCCTAATATTTTAGAGGAGCTTGCAGGAAAATGCTACTCCCGATGGCCCATACCCAGCAGTTGTCCTGTGATAAAACATGTTATGTAAGAACCAATCCTGCACCACAGCTTAGTATGTTCAGAAATCCAGTGTTTATCTTGGCCAAATAAGAAATGGAAGAAGGAAGATTTAAATTTGTACTTAAACCTTGTTGCTGGAACATGCTTGTTGTCGGAGGAACATTGTTCATCATCTATCTTACCACGGACCTCTGTAATTTGAGGGCAGGCCCTTTTAAGATGTTATGCTCTTCCTCCCTTTGTGGTCATTATAAACTGGTCTGTGCTATAACAAAGACATGACCAGGACAAGGAATACCTTATTCTGCATTAGCTCAAGTTGGGGACAGGAGGGAACCTGTACGCTGATGAAAGGTGAATTTGTGAGTGGAGAGATGGCAGGTCAGCTGGGGCATTCATGTCATCATCGAAGATTTCTGGGTGATCAAACAAGCAGAGTTCAAGTCCCTTGCGAAAAACTCTGCCTGCTTCCTAGTTAGTGCAGTGCTCTGTTCTTCTCAATGCAACTATTATGGGAACTATGCCAAACTGCTGTGCATGCAAAAATAGATCCAATATATATTATTTTGCAATGTACCTTAAAAAAATAAAAAGCTATGTATAAGGAGAACTTGTGCTTCTGTAGAAACCCTGCATTCATTAACAGCTTACAACATTTTATTTTGGAGTTAAGGAACATGTGCTAAAAGTTTAGGCTAATCTGACTGGATGATCACCATTTCAGCATCCCTGGTGACTGAGAACCATTTCAGGCATTGCATTCACTCAACATGCTAAGAAACCCTGCAAATAAGCTATGGAGTAATAGAGCGATTCTGCTGGAGTACAAATTTCTCCTCCGTTTATATCCCAGCCATTAAAGTTGTATATATTTTGACATTTATTTTTATTTTGAGAACCATCAGGGAACCACAATAATCACAGCAGGAAGTAATCTGAAAAGGAGCTTTGGAATGAGTGGGGAAGTCTCCCCTTTCTGAAGTATTTGGAGACCCAAGGAACTGTTGAAAAGGTGGAAGACACTGCGAACTATCAATTCAATGCTTTAAATGTAAGGGATTACATTGCTAAGTGGGATATTGTCCTCCTGCCTCTTTCATGCACCTATTCTGTCATTTTTCTCCAATTTCCAGTGCTTTTTAACCAACAACTCAGGAACTAGATCCTGGAAACCATATGCAAAATAGCCTGTATACAGTTCCCCTTCCCCAGTCAGATTTGCATGTATGTCACCTACTCTGCCGTTCCCTTTGATAACTGAAATGTGGAAACAAACCAGACATGTCAGACAGCCATAAGAGTGCATTTTGTGCAAGACCAACAAAATATTAAAAATTATAAACACATTTGCACAATTTTCTGGGACTGATTTTTTTCCAATGATAACAAACCAGGAATGGTAACTCCAAAGTACCACTGAGGAATCAATGGAGTGGCTGGCACAGGCAGTGGCAAGGGTGAGACTGAAAAGAATGGAAGGGCCTTGCTCCTCTGACCAAATGGCTCACTAGCCAATCCCCATAACTCGTGACGAAATTGCTCTGCTAGGTTTGGACAACACAACAATTGACTGTGGGTCAACCAACCCCAAGAACAAGTTGCTGGTTTTCAGGATGACCGGTTGCTGAAAAATAAGCCACCCTGTGGGAAGTTGCCATACCACCTTGGCTAGTGACTACAATGGGTTGTTGTGTTGCACAAGCCAGCTTGCTATCAGGAAGCGTGACTGGCTTTTAATGTGTCTGTTTTGGTCTTCTCCTAGAGATCTAAAATGGAGCCTTGTGCATTTCTTACACAGAAAGATGCATGAGATTCTAGCTATGTGCGCAGCTTACAAGTCTCAACATGCTGGAGATGCACAAGGTCTTGTTTTATATAAGAATATAAAAAAGAAGAGGTCAGAATCATTTATCCTCCATCTCCCTGCCTGTGGCAATGTCCCAAAGCATCCCCAGTTGTTATTTTATGGCTCAAGTGCTTCTTTCAGTCATATCCATAAAAATCCAAACTTATTTCATTTGTAATATGGAAAACAGATTGTGAAACTATGAAGCTGAGAATCTAACTCAGCTGCGAAATCAGATTTACATGTCTATCAAGTTACCTGTGCTCCTCACTTGGGGTAAAAGTCTCTATGCTGCAAAGTGTTCAACATTGTAGGGAAACAAAGCAGTAATTACATAGACAATGTGAACCCTTGTTTCCTATATATAACTGATTATATGACTGAAGTGAAAGGGTCTATTTTCCATTGTTTTCTACTGCTTTACTGGACCAGGGAAGGGGTTAAGGATGTAAGAAGTCTTAATTGATAAGAGTACCTGCCAAGCTCAGTGGCTAATGACCTTCATAGAACTAGCTGGGCAAACCCAGCCTTTGGCCAAAAGCAGGTTTCAATGCACTGTGCAGGAAGAAAGGTACATCTGCACACACCATGCAGAATTCTGTGTTTACTGTGCTACGTCTTCAAGACCCAGTTTTTCAAGGCTTTCCTACTGCCCAGTTTTCCATTGCTCCAACTGCCCAGTTTTGTGAATAATTTGTTTAAACATGAGCCTGCCTTGAAAAAGTGGGAGAGGGGCTGGAACATGCAGTGAAACAGACACACAACTGGCTGTTGACCAGGCTGCACCTGGTGGGCACTGAAAAAGCTCAGCACACTTTTCATTCCACCTTTGCCATTTTGGAGAGGAGTGCTAACATTAGGGATTGTTCAACAGTCTGTCTATCTTCCAAATCCATAGCGCGCCTATGAAGACATGGAAGGCATTTTGATTAGACTCACGTTTTTTCAGATGATTATCTTCACAATTAGTTTACTGAGCACCCAGGATCTTAGTTTTCCTTTTTCTGTTTTCCTCTAAAATTATGGGATACCCTTACTGGCACAACTTTTTGACTTATAAGCTTAAAATTCCAGATATAGTCCTTCTTATTATTTGCCATTGTTCTCACTGATTGTAGAACAACCTGTTGTCATCTTCAAGTATGGATATATCCAGTTTGCCATTTTTTTTAAAATTATGTCATCAGTAGTGTAGCATTAACCATTTCCTCCTCTTTCTTGGTGGAGCTGTTCTTGTACCATTATAGTTTTCCTTTTTTATATAATATTTTTAAAAGGTGATGCTGTGCTACCAAGCACCACCAAAGAATCCTCAATGTCACTGAAAGTTCTCTATAAAGAGAGCACTTGAAAGGGAGAAGAAAGTTTCTTAGTGCATGACATAGTAAGTGCATTAGAGTGCATGGCTGAGTTGCTTCAAACGAACCAAGAGAAAATCCTGGCCCATTTTCTTTTCTTCTTCTTTGAAAAGTCATATGCAATAATAATAAAAAAGATAAATATGTGTGTGTTTTTACCAGACATCATGTTAAATTTGCTGTACATGATGCTCATCTGCCTAAAAGACAATGAAAATCACTGGGCTTTTGCAAGTTCTGCATGTGATCCACAGAGCTGCTTGACGGAACAGTAATATCCAAAGAGGAGGAAAAAGAAGAAAATGCTTTGGTTGCCTTGAGCTTGCATGTTATTCAGTTACTCTTCTGTTTTCCTCCTAAGTAAAGGAAAAGTGCTTGTAAGGTGATGAAGCAGGAAAGACACTGAGTTTGGATAAAAAGCAGGTAGAAATGTAAGATGTCTCCTGTCAGGTATAGCACAATAGATCCAGATGATGTCCCTCGGCAGTTTCTTTCAATCCTCTTCTCGGCACATTGGAAAGTTGACAAAAGTGAAGACATTAAACTCTATCAGTATTGAAAAACACAAGAAGATGGCATAAAGGACAAGCACGTAGAGGCCCAGTTTTCTATCAAGTTTCCATTTATTGATGTGGATCCCAGCAACCTGTAAGATTGAAGCAATTAGGAACTGAAGAAAGTAAATGCTAAAAGTGAAAAACAGGCTCTTTAAATTCAATTTTGGCATGTGCACAAGGAAACTGATTTCCATGTTTTCTTTCAGCTCCTTCCAGCAGAAGCTGAGATGCTGTCAGAAGCTCCTGAGTGAAGAGGGGATTCTGACTAATCCATCACTCATGTGATTAATTAAGAGTTTCTTAATTGGGTGACAGCTCTAAAGAATTAACTGTCCAGCACTGTTGTCAAGGCAGACTGACAGCTGGCTTTAGCATTGCCTAAAATGTCAAGGACAGCCCATCTCTTGGGATGCTTCATGGATTTCAGTGAATTTCATCTAAAAATACATGAAGGGATGAGAATCGCATTCATATTACATAGATACATCATACTGATTTCACTAAATGACTAACACAACAAAAACATACTTACAGTAAGAGCTACAGACCCCAGGAGAAGCACAACAGAATAGACTAGTCCCTTGCTGTTTATCATAACCTGTGAAAATCAGAATAAAAATATGTATGTCGTTTTAAAATACTTAGGATACTTCAGGCATGTACTAGGCAGCAAACTGCTATTTTATGTGTAAGAAGATAAGATTTAATTCCCAACAAAGTCAATACAAAACTGTCTGCTCATTTGAAGTCAATGGGAGTTTTGCCATGCCTCTAGTTGGGGCAAACAAGATCGCGTTTGTTTACACAGCAAAATATCAGCTTCAAATAGGTAGAGAGAGAGAGAAGGTCCGTGTGCTTATATAAGAACATAAAAAGAGATGTGCTGGAGCAGACCAAAGGCCTATCTAGTCCTGCATCCCAGTAGCCAACCAGATGCCAATAAGAAGTTCACTAAAAGGACATGAGCCCAATTGTGTTCCCTAGCAACAGGAATTTAGAGGCCTACCACTTCTGACAATGAAGGTAATATTCAGATTATCCTCCATCAATCTAATGACTAAGCCTTTTAAAAAGCTGTCCAAGTTATTGGACAACCACTGCATGTTGCTGTAGCAAATTCCATGTTTATGTGATGCATGAAGAAGTACAGTATTTTTTCTGTCCTAAATCTCCCTCCATACAACTTTAGGTTGCAGTGTTATGAGAAAGGGAGAAAAACTTTCTTCCTATGCACTTTCTTCATTTCATGCATAATTCTATCCACATTTATCATACCCCTGAATTCTGATTTTACTAAGTGAAAGAGACCCAAGCATTGTAAACTTCTCTCACAGGGGAATCACTCCAGCCCTGTTAGTTTCCGTTGCCCCTTTAAGCAAGTTCTCTGAAGACAGATCCCTAGCCATGAGAATGGCACTTCAAGTCTGCATTTTCATCGCTGTTTTCCAGCTCTACAATATCTCTTTTGCATACAGTATTCCAAAGGTGCTGATATCATAAACTTGTAAGAACATTATTAGAATATTTAGTTTTATTTCTCATAGTACAAAGACCCCTGTGTTTTTCTCTATGCCTTTGTCAGGAGCACTCTGGAGCAAGGGCAATGCTACAGCCTTAGCAACAGAAGTCCTTAAAGCTATCTACTTAGGGACTAAAAAACCATCTTGAGAACCTGGTGAGAAGGCTTGAATGGACACGTACAATCAGCACCAAGAGCAACCCATTGGGTTTATTCAGTGCCTTAACTAAGCAAGAGCTGTTGGTGCCACTCCCCTTATTTGGGGCCCCTACGCAGTACCAACCTGGGGGCCCCCTCCTTCAGTGAGTCTATCTTTCCAGTGTCATTGTTTCCAGCTGCTATTGCTTCTCATCTTCTTTCTCATCACTCATACCATTTGCTAGCTTGACAGGCAGGGAGCAAGTGAGCAAGCAGAAAGTGGCACCTGCTGCTTCTGTTTCCCACCACCAATAGCACCTGGGACAGACTCAGAAGCAAGGAAACAAGCAAGGTGCAATAGTGAAAGTCATGCTGAGCATGGACTCCCAACAGGTATCAACTTGATGAGCAAGTCTTGCTGGGCATGGGCTCAATGCTGACTCTGCTCCAATGAAACAGAAGGACACTGCCAAGTCCCCTCTGCTATTGCACAGGGTTCAGGGCGAGGAGCGTCTTGCTGTTTTGTGTCTTGGCCAGCTGCTGGAAGTTGGATTGTGCTTGCCTTGCGCAACAGGTGAGGCAGCAGTTCTGACTAAGTCCCTGTGTATAGTGAGAAAAAGTTAGGACCTTCACTACCTTACAGGAGGGTTAAACTCTTCTGGTGACAATGGTGTCATGATAGTTGGGGATCTGCCCACAAACCGCTAGGCTACAAAGGGACTGCATTAGAGAAAGGGTTTTCATGTGTGGTGAATTTTCAATGGTTTGCACCCACAGAGAATTTGAACACTAAGGCAGTGCCAAAATAATAGTTTTTCACCCGTATTTGCTTTAGTAAGAAGAGGTCTGGAGATGGAAACTCTACTTTTATATACATACGTTTGAACCGTAATGAACCACCATGGTCTGCAAACCCCAGGGCACGCCGAGGCCCACAAGAATGTCAAACACATTGCTGCCAATTGTATTGGATACGGCCATGTCACCTAGACCTGAGTGGGAAAGCATTTCACCATTAAAAGCAGTGCTTTGAGTCATGCAATGGCTCTTTTTATAAGCAAGAAGGAAAAAGAACAAGTTGATGTTCTGTGCAAAGAAAGGCCCATTTTAAACCACTTAGACAATTCTTGCAAACCACTTAAGCGGTCTATAAGATTGATTGACCAGTCAATCAATCAATCAATGTCTAGACACATTCAGCTTAACAGGAAAATTCTATCCATGTCTACTCAGGAGTAGGTTTCACCAAATTTAATGGGGCTTCCTCTCAGTTAATTGGGTATAAGATTGGAACCTGGGGCTGCAATCTTTGTGTAGACTTTTCTGGGAGTAAGCTCCACTGAATTCAGTGGCACCTGCTTCTAAGCAGACATGTATGGGATTCCCCATTCCACATGGCAAACCATGTTTGAGGGCTAGAAGACTCAGCACACCTTAAGGTATGGCATCAAAGGGGAGAAAGGGGGGGATTCTACTAGCCATGCCCAAATGCCCCCATGCATGATTACAAGTAGCTTCCCAGACCCCGAGCCCAACATTTTAGACAAGGGCCGTCACTGGAGTAAATAATTATAGTTACAGTTATAATTAATTAATGAATCAAACGTATAAAGCCATATTTCTGAAGCAAAAAAGGTGCATTTTTTGTTTACATCATGGATTCCCTCTTGAGAGCTTGCGGGGGAGGGGTTGCTTCTCTTACGGAGCAGCTAGCCAGTTTTTATAAGTACTTGCAGTAATATGCAAACCAGTAATGTTTTATTTATTTATTTATTTATTTATACCCTGCCTTTTTCCTACAAAGGGCTCGAGGCAGCTTACATCATTCTCTTCCTCCATCTTATCCCCACAACAACAACCCTGTGAGGTAGGTTGGGCTGAGAGTCTGTGACCGGCCCAAAGTCACCCAGTTGGCTCCATGGCTGAGCGGGGACTAGAACCCAGATCGTCTGAGTCCCAGTCCCATGCTCTTAACCACTACACCACATTGGTTCTAATGAAAGCATAAATAACAAATGAGATAGTTGGTGCCATCTTAGAAGAGCTATTCCTCCATCACTCTCTAACTTTACCTAGTACTCTACCTACCTAATTGTCAGCACAATTAATTGAGGTACCCTTTTAGTCTAAAGAATGTATACAGCAAGTTTGCAAGTCCATAAAATTTAGATACAGAGAAGTCCTACAAGTCCCAGAATTCCCCAGCCAGCACATGTGCTATCAGTAGGACCCAGTGCAACTAAGTGGGGTTGGATCCAAGCAAGTCTTTAATTGATTATGGGCCCAATCTGATGTTGTCCATTCTTGGTACATGTAAGCCTCTCAACAGTGAGAGCCAGTGTGGTGTGGTGGTTAGAGTGTTGGACTGGGGACCTTGGAGATCCAGGAGCTCTGGGTTCTAGACCCCATTCAGCCATGAAGCTCACTGGGAAACTTTGGCCCAGTCACTCACTCTAGCCTACCTTAGAGGGTTGTGGTGGTGAAGCTAGCATGGGGCTAGATAAGCTACCATGGGATCCTCACGAGAGAGAGAAAAAATGCAATAATAGGATATAAATGCAATGCAATAATAACAGCAACACAGAAGCTCACACATACACAATGCAAGGCAAGAGGAGAGCACTCTGTGCCTTCTATTTTGATCTAAATGACTATTTTCTGCCATCTGGAGGGAGCACCATGTAGGGGGAAATCAGGACCGCCATTTAGGTGCGGTGTAAACCATCATCCTCAGCCTCCCCCCCCCCCTTGCCCTCCTTTAGACCTCTGCAAGGCCAATTTCTAACCCCAGAAATGAGCTAGTGCTGTTAAGTGGGCAGGACAAGAGTTGTTCCATGTTAGGAGTTCCAGCTACAGTTCCAGGAAACCTTGGAATGGGACTCCAAGTAATCCTATGGCCATCCAGAGTATGTCAGGCAATTGTGCCCTAGGGGCACAATCCCATGCCTAACTGAACAGAAAAAAGGCCTACAACTCCCAGCATGCCCGTGGTGGAAACCATAGGCCCTTTTCTGTCTAAACATGCATAGGACTGTGCCTTAAAAGTTCTGCAGCCCTACTTTAGACATATATGGTGTCTTGAAGATGAGTGGATCTGTCTGTCTTGCCTTGTATGCTTGCATGTTCACTTCTAAGTTCTAGCTGGTTTCCCCATCAGTTTGCCTTTTTTAAAAAAATCAATACATATTTTATATGCAATGGTTCCTAATATGCACATTTTAAAAGGCATTCCCTTAAAATAAGCCTTTTTGATGTGCTATTATCTTGAATGCATGTAGTTTTGCACACCATTTCTGATGTACATGCATTTGCATACATTTCTACATTGGCAAACTTGACTGCAAAATCTGTGAAAACCAACTGTGCCATAAGCCACATGTTCATTCAGGAAGTGCTAATTAGTACTAAATGTGAACCAACCTCATTTTGCCCAATCTTATTCTAAAATAATGCCAGCCATGTCTGTATATCACAAAAGTAAGGGGCCTGCCTATTAATGGAGAGAGCAAAAGCAGCATTTCTCTGCACTACATACCTTGTCTGGCTACAATTAAACTGGCCATGCAGTCTGGTACACTGGTTCCTGCAGCGAGGAAAGTAATTCCCATGATAACATCAGGTATCCCTAGAGTGTAACCAATCACTGTAACCTATGCAACAAAGGAAAACACAGTAGTTGGAAAACAATAGAGAACACTTTCTGTCTTGCATTCACAGTAAGATTCATCAACCACCAAACTCCTTGAGTGTGTGGGTGTCAGTATGAATCAAGCAGAAGAGAATTTCAGTAATGAAACTAAATGCCAGCAAGTCTGACTAACCACCTAGAAGAAAACAAATTGGTTTGCAGACAGCGCGGCTGATCATGAGAGAAGAACTGTGCAGAGCAAAGCTAAAGCTTTTGTGTATTTCCCACTCTCTTAATGGGAGTTGTGCAGGAGATGTTCCCTGTGGAGTGTGCCTTTATGAGGTGCCAGACACTTTATCAACTGGCAATTTGTACCTAAGCTAGGTCTGGGATAGTTTAGTTGCAATATATCTGGGCACCTTCCAGAACACACATTTCTTCTCCATCTGTCATGCCTCATTTTTGCTTAGTGAAGGAAGTCACTGTGGCGTACCAGGTGGTGAGCCAGACCTGGTGAAACAGGTTCAAATCCCCACCCAGCCCTTTAACTCACTAGGGGAACTCGGGACTGTTCCGTCTCTCAGCCCCATGCACCTCTCAGGCTTGCTGTGGGCATAAGATGAGCAAGAGACAGAACCATCTAGCAGAGAACAGTGGCAGTGGGCCATAATTTCAGGGGAAGGCTACCATGCACACTTGCCCATCATCCCCTCTAATCAAAGAGGCTCTGCAGGGTTTTGATGTGCAACAAAAAATCCACGCTGTATGACCACAGAGGTGAAGATATGATGATTCCTGGCCAAGAGTACCTCTGTCATACCACCTTCCACTCTGTGAGAAAGCATTACATGAGTGGTGACTGACCCCGCAGTGACTGTTACACTAGTGCAAAACCAACCCTAGTATTTTTGCAAGATCATTAGTACTTGCATTGCTTTTTATTATTAGAATTATTGTTAATAGTACACATCAACAGTGATATTTAAAACTATTATATGTATGGTGCTTAGAGCTTTTATTATATTAACTGGCATAAATATTATTAATATGCAAAGTGAAAAAGCCTTCGGCACGAAAAGTCTGGGTCCATGAAGACTGTCTTCTTTGCAAGAGTAGCTGGGAAGGAAATGCTGGATTTGGCATCAACGTTGAAATCGACCAGCAGGAAAAAGGAAGCCAAAATTGAGCAGTCTTTTAAAGAGATGGTTAGTGTTGATGAATTTTATTGTTTCCTCTGAAAGGCTAAACTCTTCTTTACCACAATTTGTTATTTTTTCTAATACTATATTAGAAAATTATATAAATTATATAAAATAAAAATAAAGTGAAAAACCAATGATAATGGCCATAAAGTATCATACAGCTATTAATAACTATTAAATTTCTATACCACCCAACATTCAAAGCTATTGCGTTGTATAATATTTGAATGTGCTATTCTAGAACACAAACAGGGGAATTTGTTACAAATGCCTGAAATAGAAGTCTAGGTCAAAACAAAACTGGAAAAGAGAACCATTTTGTGCATTCTTTCCCCTTACCCACCACAAAAACTCACCTCTTAGAGGGACAATATTTTCTCTTGACCATGAAACAGGTATAACATTAGAGCAGAAGCCACTCCAAGAGCTGCTGCTATCCACCCATTAGCCCCCAATGTGATTCTTCTTCCAAGAATCAACAGATAGAATTGAAGATAGTTTTCATCAAGGGGATATGGCTTCAGTGATGCTGTCGACTGAACTGTATGTTGGGTTCCCTGATTACTGATAATGTACCTGTTCACCATAAGCACTGGCCACTTATGAAACCAGATGCTTGGAGTTATGTTAACATTTTTGGTTGAATAAATGAATGTTTGTCTTCTTATTTTCCCATATTTTGCTTTACCCCCAAAATATGCTTATTTAAAATCTTGCAAAACTAGTTCCCAGATTGGGAAGGGAGATGACTTAGGGACAATACAAGTTCCAGCCAATCAAGAGGCACTCACTGCCAGATATTCCTGTAAACTTTCAGAAATAAGTTTTGTTTTTTTCAGACCTTGACACTGGGTACGAGAATTAAACACAATGAGGGCTCTTCTCAAACAGACTCACTGTTCTTAAAATGTTATGAATGCCTTCATCCCTGGCTTACCTCAAGGGTTGGTCAAGCATAACGATTGCTAAAAAAGAGAGCTGCACTGTAAATATGGCGTATTTGACACTGTTGTGATGGCAAGTACTTGTAGAAAACTGAAGGAATGTATTTCTTTGTTTTAACCAGCTACCATTTTGTATTCTTACAGGCTGTTCTCCCTTGTTGATAACTGCGTATCAACTTTATTTCAAAATAAATATTTATGTTCAAAAATAAGAACTCACTCACCAGCCAGACCATAAAGTAGGAAAAGAGAGCTATCCAAAGAGTGGATAAGATGAAAGTCAGCATGAAAAAATTCTCCCAGCGTGGCTTGCTGCAGTTTGGGATGGTGAAGAACAGAAGGAATATCAATGGCCAAGTCAGAATCCATTTGACTTTGTCCATTTTTCCATCTGGATTACAAGAAAGAGAAAGGTGCAAAGTCATATTTCTATATTTAAACATAATTAAAGAAAAAAAACTGAAGACACTGTTGCAGTCGCACATTTCAAAAGAGAATGAGATGCCTAGGGGACAGCATTTAAAATCCCAGTATGAAATAAATGGATTTTTTCCTTGGAGCAAGGCCTGGTTGTGCTACACTGACCGTGTCTTGATTCTCAAAATAGCAAAGGCACATGAAACATGAACACCCTGAAAACAAAGAAAGAAGTAAACATGTAATGAATTGGCTCCATTTGATACTACAGTGATTGCTCAAAACAAAACTCAGATTAGCATTATGAACCATGTGTTTCCTTTACACTGCACAGTTTCACCATTTGTTTGCCTGCTTTCTTGGACAGAAAAATATAGATCACCTGTATTTATTAAACCATTTATCTGTTGTTGCCTTATAGGCATGTCAGCATATTTTGCTCATACCTTTTTACTCACTTTACTTCAACATGTGTGCAAATATACCCTGCAATGTTAGTTTTATGCATCTGGTAAAGAAAGGTGTTGCCTGTGAAAGCTCAAGTTGGAGGACTTCCTCAGTGCTGACCTTTGCCGAGTGCTAATAGTAGCACCATATCTTGCCCTCGGGTAATGCAGGGAAACTTTACTTCTACTCTATTATCTGGCAGGAGAGAATTTCATTGAAACAGGAAACAAATGGACTTCAACATTTCCTTTTAAAAATCATAGAGCAGTAGAGCTGGAACAGGCCAGAAGGCCACTAGGCCCAAACTCCTGCTCAGTGCAGGACTCCAAGTTAAACCATTCCTCTCAGATGGCTGTCCCGCTGCATCTTGAATGCCTCTAGTGTGGGATTGCCCACAACTGCCCTAGACCATTGGTTCTATTGTTGTACTGCTCTAACAGTGAGGAGGTTCTTTCTGTTGTCCAGCCAGAATCTGTCTTCCTGTAACTTGAGTCCTTTACTTCATGTCCTGCACTCTGGGATAATTGAGATCAACCTTTCAAGTTGGAAGAATGCCATAAATCTTCTCAATCTTCTCGAGGTTAAACATGTCCAGTTCTGCAATCTCTCCCCATAGGGCTTTGTTTGCAGTTCCTGGATCATCCTTGTTGTGGTCAGGATCTGGGCAGCTCCAGGGCTCCATCTACTGGGCTAGAAACAGGATGATGAGCCTGGTAGTTGAAAGATTGGTCCCAGACTCTACTGCATCTGCCAGGGCCTTCATGGTCACCACCTGGGAGTCCTGGGGATGCAGCTATTTAAGAGCTGGCTCTTCCACTCCAGGAGCTGCCTTAGCAACACTTGTTCACAGCGTCTGAAGCCCTTCTTTGTGTGTCGGATCTTGCCTGCCCCTAAGCACCTGCTCCTTGTTGTGTTGATTTACCAATTCCTGACCTCTGCCCTGCTCTGACTACATTTTGGCTTACTGGACTCCACTGTCTACTCCTGGTTCTGATCTTGGCCTGTTCTGGATTATGACCTGGATCTGTTACTGGACTGATTCTTGAACACTGGACTTGCTTCACCTTAGTTCTAGTTCCTGAGTCCTGGTGCATCTATGTAATACCTGCCATCCATGTCTCGGACCCTTACAGTTGCCCTCCTCTGAACCCCTTTCAGCTTCTTAAACTGTGCTGCCCAGAACTGGACATAGTACTCCAGAGGAGGCCTAACCAGTGCTGAGTAAAGGGGAACTAGTACTTCCTGGGATTTGGAAGTATCATTGTCATCATCATCAACCATTCAGTCATGTCCGACCCTTGGCCACTCCATGGATCATTGCTCTCCATGCCTCTCTGTCTTGCACTGCTTCCTTCAAGACCACCATGTCCACCCCAGTATCTTTCTTTATGGTGTCAATGGGGCCCTTTCTCCTTTATCTGCTGATCATTACCAGCATGATTGGCTCTTTGAGTGAGTCAGCTTTCATGACATGGCCAAAGTATGACAGTCTTTCTTTGGTGATCTTGGCTTCAAATGGTATTTTTGGTGAGGCTCAGTCTAGGACTTCTTTCTTTGTGACTTCTGCAGACCATTAATGCAGCTGAAAATAGCACTGGCCCTTTTTGCAGCCACATCGCATTATGGACTCATTCAGCTTGTGATATACAACAATTCCAAGATCCTTCTCCCTTGCAGTATTGTTGAGCCAAGTATCCCTCATCTTGTAACAATGCATCGTTTCTTTTTTCTAGGTTCAGAACTTGACATTAGTCCCTACTGAATTTCATTCCTTTGTTTTCAGCCCAGCATTCCAACTTGTCAAGGTTACCTTGAATCTTACTTCTGTCTTCTATGGTACTAGCTATCCCACCCAGTTCTGTGTGTTCTGCAAATCTGATAATTGTTCCCTGCACTTTCTCATCCAGGTTATTAATGAAAATGTTGACGAGCACTGGGACCAGGACTGAACCCTGAGGAGTTCCCGCTCCCCAGTTAACAATTGAGGAGGAAACAGGTCTATGAGAAGATGGGACATTGCTACATGGGAACAGGGAAGACTTGTGGGTGTTTGTCACCTTAAAGGAAGATAAGCACTGTTATGACGATTTTATATTAAAAGCAACACTTGAGGAAGCACACATATTAGCATGAGATTCTGTCTATCACATTTTCTCCAAGATGCACAGCAGATTTTCCACCCAGCAGGGTGGCCATGTGTCAGTTCTCTATGCCAAGGGCTGTCAGAGGACATTCCTCTCTTTGAAGGAGACCTCTGTTTGAAGGGCTGCCAATGCAGGTCTGGTTTAAACATCAAACACAACCAAGAGGAGAAAGCAGCAGGGCCTTGATGCTTCCCATCAACAGTTAGCACACGGAAGGTACACTGTGGAGCCCACAGATCAACTGGTTTCTTTCTCCCCCCACCCCCACTTTAGTCAGATGCACTGTATTCATGTCTAAATTAGGGTTATTGTTTCTAAAATTGCACAGACTGACCTAGATTAGCATATGAAAATTTGATGCAAACTTGCATCCTCTTTTGTCCTCTTTACGGGAAATTGTATCTACTTTTTTGGCCATCCCCAAAGTTGGACTGAGAGATAACCCCTGATGCAGGGTCATGCAGCCAGCTTCATAACTGAGGCCCAGACAAGCTGGGACAGTGGCAGACCTCAGCATTATTGGCGGTAAAGTGCATGAAATCAGACTGTGGTAAATTGAGAGCTAGTATCTGTAGAGAGGGCATTGTGGGAAGAACTCTTACGGCATTGCTGGAGCTGGGGGTCAGACTAGATGGCCCAGGAGTTCCCTTCTGATTCACTTTGGTTCTATGTTTCTAGATTTCTATTTTAAAAACTCCTGAAACTGTTGTTAATTTTAGAATGGCTGATTGGTTTTTAACCTTCCATTGTGTTTTATTCACAAATAAGCATTCAAGCATATGCATGTTTAGGTAGCAAAACAACCAACAGTCCCCAGTATGGTTGGTTGGGAGATGCTGTAGGCTGTATAATTTTTCTTTGTCCAACATGAAGAGGACAGTACCCTAAATTAGTTTCACTTAACTTCTAAAGTGCTAAGACTGTTGTTTGGTAATCTCTAGTATAATATGACTGAATGTAGGCTGAAATGAAGAGTGGGGGGGGGTTAAAAAGGTGAAATGGTGGGTAGAAATGAATGCTTCCTTTTCCTGATGTTTTACCCTCTTCAGTTCTGCTCACATCCACAGCATCTCTCAAGACCAGAACTGATATTTCTTTCTTTTGTTATTTCACTTTAAAAAGAGGGTGGGAGGACTCATTGAGAAAAAAAGAAACAAGAAAATTCTTCCTCACACAGCAACAGGAACAGAAACAGGAAGAGGGAATTTATTCAATGTGCAACTAAAAGGTAACTCAGAAATCCCCCAGCCACATTCAACAGAAATTCATAAAAAAGGCAAGACCTTTGCCTGTCCATATTGGAAACATGTGCTACATCTGGGAATTTTCTTAAATCACCAATATTAAGTTTTTCAAATAGAGGACAATACAGAAAATACTGAAATACAACAGCTTTCCTAATATATAGAACAACATGTTTTCCTTAACTTTTGCTTTTTACCTTTCCAGAAACCTGTGTGTTTTTCCCAAAGCAAGACATGGATCTGGGTTATTCTAGCATTCAAGAAATGGGGACAAGGCACTGCTTCTTTGTTTCAAGTCCCTAGCTGATGCCTGCAACACCTACCTGTGACTAAAGGCATAACCCTATGCATATTCACACAGCAAAAAATGGCTGTCTGCAAAATACTAAACACTGTAGGACCTTTTTGCATCTAAACATGAATAAGACTGTGCTGCAATTCATCACTTCTGCAGTCTCAAGAGCCATTCTAAAATGGATGTGGCCCAATTTTGGAAACTTTTTCTTTCCCCATCCTTTTCTCTTTACACCAATTAGCCTTATGATGTAGGGATTGGTCCCTGCAACTAAAGAGCTTTCAAGGGATTCCTATTCAGTTGAGAAGGTGCAACTCATAGCTGAAACCAGCTGAACTAGAGATAGAAAGAAAGAGAGTCAGAGACAAACACTGTGGAAGGCCAAAGCATGCCTGATGAGGAGCAGATGGGCAGAATGGGCACGACCCATCCCAGAGCCAGGCATCACTTGAAAAAGGAAGAACAAAGGTGTTCTAAGCAGCTGACTCTAAAGCAACAGGAACGCATGTTAGGAGGGACCCTTAGTCTGAGATCAACTTTTTTTTCATGAGGCTGCATTTCCTTGATATATGGATTATCTAGCATTCTGACTAAGCTTGTTTCTCGTTACCGATCCTTCTAGTACACTTAATTTGTACTTGAAAGCTACTCTTTCTGGTTTGCCTTACCATTTTTACTGTGTAAATCATCCAGAGAGCCATGTGGCTATTATGACGGTATACAAGTGTTAAATAAATAAAAGCTAATAGTTAGAAGATCAATGCCTGCATTTGTTCTTGGAGAAGAGAGAGATGGACAACCCTGACAGATGAAGAGTTCTGGAGAACTTCAAAGGTGCACAAAA